AGATTGTCTTTGGGTTCTTGAGGCGCTGGAGCTCCTGGAGGGCGCAGAAGTAAATGTAGTTTGCCGAGTTGATGGTCTGCGCTACGCCAAAGATGTTGTGGGCGACGGGGAGGCCGCGGCGGAGGGAGGACGAATCTTCCACGTCGTCGATGAGGAGGGAGGCCGTGTGCAGCATACCGACGACGTTTGTAATGACATCGATGCTGGCCTGGGGCACCTCGAGCCAGACGTTAAAGGCCTGGATGAGCTGGGCGCGGAAGTCCTTACCCGGGTGGGCAAAGAGGTAGTCAAAGGGGCCGGTGATGACCTTGTCCTTCTCCTCGGGCCAGGTCTTGCGGGTGAAGTTGAGGTCAGAGGTCGCGTAGCGCGAGGGGTCCGGGGGCGGGGGAGGCTGCATCGTGAGAGTGAAGGAGGTAGCTTGGTTGGTCCCCAGGGAAGGGCGGCGAGACCGGTGAGAAGAATGTGAGAGCGAGTGCTTGTGGGCGTGGGTTTGGCCGTGACCGTTATTGGTATTGGTGTGGTAGTTGGCGCGGGAGAGCCAGTCGGTCTCGGGAACGGTACGGAGGGGCCCTTTGGAGGTCGCGGGCATGGGCGCGGCCGCGTGGGCGGAGAGGGAGACGGGAGCGGCGGCGGCGGCGGAGTGGTGGCCGATGGAGGATTTGCGCGAGGGGATAACGTTTGGCGGGGAATGGGGAAACGAGGAAGAGGGGGTGTTGGCGGTATTTGTATTCGTAGGGTTTGAAGATTTGTCGGCTGCTTTGTTTGAAGGAGGAGAGGACGACGAGGTCGCCGACGGGTTATTAGGCACCATCGCGAAAGGGAGTCTTCTCCAAGGGACCGGCTGCCAGGGGAAGAAGCGTGGCTTCTTATGGAAGTCTGGTAGGGAGGACCCGGTTAAGGTCTCACCACCAGCACCAGCACCAGCACCAGCTGCAGAAGCTACAGCTGCGGGAGCTCCAGGTGTTGGCTCAAGCTCAACAGAGCTCGCGTGGGCTGGGGATGCGGCGTTGTGGAGCTCTGGCTGGTGGGTTGCGGTAGAATCGGTCAGCTGGCGCCGTTGCTGTAAGCCCGTGTAAACGTCACCACTTGCTCAGCCAAGGTGAGATTCTGCCCGGGGGTGAGGCATAACTCTGTGAGGTAAGGTAGGTTGTGAAATGGTGTGGTGGTGGATTGGATAGGAGCGGCATTGCGGCAGGCAGTTGATTGCTGCATATGCGAGTGCTTTTCTGCCCGTGTCTGTATTGGTCCGTAGACTATGTGCATGTGCTGTCTTTTTGGCGGGGAACAAAACGAGATGTAGACCGTCATGACTTTCTTGTGAATAGGGCCTTTTCTCCACCCATTGCTGCAAGGGAATAGGCGTAGGCAAGGATGGTGCGCAGGCCGGAATACCTAGCAAAGAGGATGAAAGGCCAAGCTAGGTCACTGAACCTTGCTTGGAAAGTCCTTGGTGGGAACGAAGACGGATGGTTGTGGCGGGTACCTGAAAAGTCCTAGACAGGCCTGCAGTGGGCAATCATGGAGAAGAAAGTATGGGAGGAAAGCAACAAGGCAAAGTGAAGTTGCAGATGGACAATCACATGTCAATGGAAAGCAGTTTGCGCACCTTGAACATGCAGCAGGAGCAGCAACAGGGGCAACGATGGCAGCTGTGGAAGGTGCTGATGGGGCCTCAATTGCCCAGGGCAGAGCTCAGATCGTTTGCTGGAGCTCTTACCGATTGATGGTGGGGAGATAAGGCGGAAGGCAGTCGGGCTTATGTTGAGGCCGAAGGAAGGAAGACGTCATCCAAATTCGCGGCTGTTCCTTGGGGGGTCGGGACTCCGTCGATGCCGAGCTCCAAAAGGGCGGCCGCGGACTTTGATCCGGGTGGGTGGCCGGAGAATAAGCGGTGGGAGGAACAGCAGAGTGAAGACAAGGGACCGGATATCTCGGTGTAGTGATGACTCGTCTACCTGAGTCGTTGCTCTCCCGCCTGATTGATGTCGAACGGATGGAATTGGAGCGGAGAAAGGAAAAGGAAGAAGAGCAAACCGGGTGGGTGCTCGAAAAGAGAGAGGTTCGTGCGAAGTCTCCGTCTTAAGAATCGGCCGGAGCACGGAGGAGACACGGACACCACCCACCTCGAGCCAACGTGGAACTACTATTTCTTAGGGAGTATTGGGGAAACGGGCTTCTAGAAGAGGACGAGAGCGGGCCACTAACACATCACGGAGTACGGATACACACATACGTAGTAGTACCTTAAGTACGGAGTACTGCGTAGACACTAAGTGCTCGGATGTCACCCAGAATCCTCCTGATCTGCGTGCTTGTCGCCCGTCACTCTGTCACCCCTTGACCATGTGCTTCATCCTGCCAGACTAGCTACTGTGACTCGTGAGACCTAGGTTGTTGCCGTGTGATAGACCGGCTTAAGAAGAAGTGATAGCAACAGGGCAGCAGCAGAGAGGCAGCTCGCTCCGAGTCGGAGCAACTCTAGACACTTGGATGTGCCATCCCCTCGCGTCTTCAGGTTTCATCAGCGTTAAGTGCCGGTCTTAAGCACCCGCATCGGCTGTGACAGGGCCGGCAGAGAAGTTTACCGTAAACTTGTGCCATTCGACGCCGCCTCTCTGCAGTAGCCAAGGCAGGCGGCACACCGCACTTCGGGGTCACAGATCAGGGTCGATGTCAAAGCCTCGCTTATGTCCCATACTACTGTGTATCTCTGAACTTCCACAGCCTTGAACCCTGCTCGTTCTCTCCGAGTTCCCATGCATGGAGGACCAGGGAAAGAAAAGGGAGCTCATGCAAGAAGGGAAAACCCAAGATGCTTAGTTTGCCGGCCCGTGCCCCCCACAATGCCACCCAAAGAGCCAAAAATGCGCCAAACGCAGCCCAATGGCTCCCTGATGTCCCTGATGGGCCCCCCCTAATTGACCCGCTTAGCTAAGAAACGGTCATCAACCTGGCCAATCAGACACAGAATTTCCCCTTTCGGCAGCGCTACATCCCCATCCCAACATGCTGGATCGACCCGGTTGCCGGGGCAGTAATCGTCCAACGCAACACAAACAACCCGCATTGTCCACCAACATCGTCGCTTTCCACCGTCTGTTGTATCTGGACGCTACCGGGTAGTCGCTCTCATGAATGACCACCTGCGCATGCGCCCTCGCCATTGAACATCTTTTTATTTTTTGCCTTTTCCACCTCCCTCGATACGATTGTCGCGCAATTGCCATACGCCGCCCTTCTCCAGATCCCTAGAGGACTTGTCCTCGCCAGCCTTTCTTCTTCTCTTTTTCTGTATTAACAATATCCGACGGTGCTGCTGCTGCTGCTTTCCAGACTCGACTTCTGTCTCTATCCTTCCATCCGATACAACAGCATTCCATAGCCACCAAACCATCCTCAAGTCGCATCACCGAGAATCGCATCGCGTCGTCTCTTTTGTCTTTACCAAATTACGCCCGATACCCACGTCCTCCAATCAGGCCACAAAGTCACCGCCTGCTACAAGAGCTCATTCGCAACATAATACGCAATGGAGAACCTCCTCAGCCTCGCCTTCGACGGCCTCTCTTCCTACGACGGCCCCAAGATCCGCAAGGGTCTGCGCCAAGTCGAGGGTCTCCTCGCCCAAATCTGCCTTTCAGCACCAGCCAAATCGAGGTCTCCCACAACGGACGATGATGCGTCCCACAACGGTGGAAAGTCTCTGGCAGACTTGTCAGATGACCCGGCCTTCCGCGAATTCTTCAAGCTGCAAGAAGGATTCGAGTGGAACGTTGCCCTGCGCCTCATCAACACTCTCGACCGCCTGATGGGCAAGGGCACCGACGGACAGAATGACCTCCTCATCCTCAGCTCGTTGGATCTGATCCAGGGCGTCTTATTGCTGCACCCGCCCAGCAAGGCCCTCTTCTCACGGGAGCAGAACATGAACGTACGTTGTCTTTGACTCTTCCACCGTCATTGTCCAAAGCAGAGCACTAATTCCAATCTCGCAACAGCTCCTCCTCGACCTCCTCGAACCCGTAAACTGTCCCGCGATCCAGTCCGCCACCCTCCTCACTCTCGTCACCGCCCTCATTGACACCCCGACAAACACCCGAACCTTTGAGGCCCTCGATGGCCTCCTCACCGTCACCTCCCTCTTCAAATCCCGCTCCACCGCCCGCGAGGTCAAGCTCAAGCTCGTCGAGTTCCTCTACTTTTACCTCATGCCCGAGGTTCCCTCCATCCCCCGCGCCGACGTCCGCGCTTCTGTACCGGCCATCCACCAGCGCAGCCCAAGCAAGCTCGCCGGCGCCTTTGGCAGCGCGGCCTCCACGCCCGCCTCCACCGACTCAGGCCACGGCCGGAGCCGCGCCGGTAGCGAATCTGCCGACACCATGACGACCGAGGAGAAGCAGGAGCTGCTAGGCCGCCACCTGAGCAATGTCGAGGATCTCGTCAGGGACCTGCGGACGTGCACGCCCTTTGGTGGTGTCGTGTGCTAGCTTTCCTCGACAAGCGAAACTGCTCATGTCTGGTATTTGGTGTTTTCGGGTACGCATCATTCTAAGGAGTTGTACTCTTGTTCGCGAGCTCTAGTGTCTCCGTCAGTTGCATGGTTGATCTTGTTTGGCGTTCTCGTGGAGGGTACGATTACAGAGGTTTCACACATTTTGGGCGTCATCATTCATGGAAACGTAGGCGAGGAGTTTTCTTTACCATTTTTCTCGTTTGTGGCCAAGGAAGGGGAGTTGCTCATTCCAAAAGTTTCCCTCTATCAGAATCGCATAATACGTATTGTCAAGTTGCGTCCCCTTGAGTATCGTAGAAGCATGAGGAAGAAGAGAAAGAAACGCGCGCATGTCTTTTTGATCGTTTATCAAGCTGTGTATCATTATCGTTGATTATCGTTTATACTCCGATTCATGGGGGTCGTCTCAGAAAGACTCGAGACTGATTATAGAAGACGCCTCACTTTGAACAACACACCTTGCTCTGTCTGTCCATCCCAAGTCCTCCTATCTCTCCCTCTCCCTGTCGGAGGGAGCGGGACCCGGTGACCGATCAAACATGCTCACGCTCGCGATACTCCTCGGCGTCATCATCGACGGCGTCGGCACAACCGACGAGGGCGGCGCCCCAACGGACACGGGCGAAGCCATCTCGGACCCGTACAACTCGTACCGCCCCTGCGTCGTCTCCTCCTCGGACCCGGGCGTCTGCATCTCCCTCGGGCCCCCTTCACGCCCTTCCTCCGGCACGGAAGTCACGCTGTGGCCGTACCCGTGGCCGTGACCGTAACCGTAGCAGTAGCCTCTCTTCTCACCCCCGGAGTCCCCAATCTCCACGGGCGCGACAACGTCATTGGGCGAATGCGCTTGGAGCGGCACGCCCCGTCCTCGACCAGGCGTCCCCGCCCTTCCCCCTCCGGCTCCGGCTCCGGCTCCCGAACCACTGCCCGGAGACAACCCGGTCTCGTCTGTCTCGGTATACGGCCCCGCAACGGCATCCGGACCAAAGTAATCCTGCGTCGCGCCGCGACTGGGCCCGTTCGGTCGGGACCCGGACGTGACGTCCGATAAAGCCCGTACCCCGCGACTAGGCCTCTCGCTCCCGACGCCAGAGACCCCTCCCCTTCCTGCCCCCGTTCCTCTGCTCCGCCCGCCGCCGCCGCTACGCTCAGACATCGTCGCCGTCCCGGTAACAGTCCCCCTCCGCCGCCTCCTCACGAAACAAAACCACGCGAGCGCGCCGGCGAGAGCACACCCCACAACAGCAACGCCAACCCCGATGCCCGCCTTCGCTCCAGCCGACAACCCTCCCCCTCCGCTGCCGCCTTCGGGGACGGTGGTATACCCCACATCCCCCGTCGCCGTCGGGTTCCCCGCCGCGCACCCGGCCGTCCCGCTGACGACGGTGCAGTGCATGAGGTTATCGCAGCACCCCGCCGCCGTGTCGTCGCACGCGTGCTGCGTGGTGGCCGTACACTGCGGGTCAGCGGGCTTCAGTCCCCCCGTGGCAGATGATGTTACGGAAGCGGAGACCGTGCTTATGCAGCGGCCGCCGGAGACGCAGGTCTGGCCGTAGGAGCAGCAGCCGCCGCCGAACTGGGATTCGCAGCGGAAGGCGGAGGGGGAGGGACAGGTGCGGCCGCAGCAGGCTGAGGATGTCGAGAGGGAGGTTGTCAGGAGGGCGGAGGCGGCGCTCGTGGTCCGCGAGACGGTGGCGGTTACGGTTATCGTTGTTGGGCATTGGTAGGCTGTCGCGGGGCAGTTTGAGTCGCAGAGGGAGCCGAGGGGGCAGCACCATGGTGAGTTGTCGGGTTTCACGTAGCAGTAGTTTGTGTTTGCGCAGCAGGTTTCTGGGTGGCCTATGTCGACGCCTGTTTGGGCGTTTTTAGTTTGATGCTCTTGGTGATGAGTGAGACTACTCCCTTCTTCTTCCTCATGCTTCTAGTATGTAGACACTATTTGGGGGTAATATAAGGTGAATCCGAAGTCAAGGGGGGACGTCGAGTGAGGATAATGATAACACTTGAAGGAGTTTCGTACTTACAGGAATGAAAGTTCGGGTTACATATACCGCCGTCGCGGACAGCGAGCCGCGGTGCGTCGATGAAGAAGCGCGGAACGATACCGGCGCCCCCGACGGCTGGCGACATGTCGACCGCGGCGTATCTCTGTCTGAAGGCCGCATTTGTGCCGGTGGCGGCGGCGGCGGCGGCAGCGGCCAGCGTGAGAATCGCGAGGAGCTTCATCTTGTCTGCTGCTATCCCATCCCCCAAGAACGGCAACTTTTGATCGGGACAAGAAAGAGCAACGCCGATTGAAATGCCGAGTTCAATTAGGAAAACATTGCTCTCAATTCACGAGGCTTTTGCGAAGGAGAAGATGAGAAACTTTCCCGCCAGCCTGCCCTTTGGTGGTGGTGGTGGTGGAAGCCTCGGAGGATGGGGGGATCGTGTGTGTGTGTGTAACAACAGCGAGGCAAACCGCGGCTGAAAGGGAAAAGACGAGAAAAAAGCAAGGGACACAGAAACAATGGTAAGCAAACAATTTGAAGAGTGGAGGGGGAAAAGATGACAGTGATTAATGTAGGTAAGATGGCAGCGCACAGAAAAGGCTGCTGCTGCTGCTCCTGCTGCTTCCTGCTGCAGCATGCGCCTAGATGCAGGGTAAAGTAGCATACACCCATCATGGGAAATAGAGGAACATGTAAGCAGAAACCCCATTTCCTCGGCTCGGGGGTAATCCAAAGTTCCTTGTGTTTCCTATCTATTCCATCTTGCACTCACGCAACCTAATTTCAGAATGAAAACCCATAAAGAGGAGGATTGTTCAACTAGAACATCCAGCCTCTCTTTCGGTGAAAGGCGTGAAACGAAACCACTCGGTTTCCTCACGAGTACTTCGTTCGGTACTCGACTCGAAAATGCAGAAACGGAGCGCCAAACTAACTCACTTGCCCCTCTCGATCGCGAGCCGAAAGGATTCCTCGTAATCCGTCATGGGAAATGATTGGTCAGCCTGTTCTCGCTATCCCATCTTCGTTGGTTCGTTCTTGCTGGGCCGCTGGGTTGCATATCGGGAGACCATCACCACCACCACCACCATCCACGGGCCGGCATCCCCTGTCCCTCGTGGCGACGCAGAACATAGGTATACCTAGCGGCTAGCTTCTCCAAGATTCGCGAGGATGGTGGATTCCAGGGAGACTCTTCCAGAGCGTAAGAACTCGGCCAGTATTTTTGCTGCAAGGGAGAGAGAGAGAGAGATCGCGGTGGATGTGAAGGTATTCTCCCACTTTGTGAACCCCCCTCGCAGGCTGCTTTCTAGTGTGAACAGTACCTGCGTGCTCCTATTTGCAATCAATCGCCACGCGAATGGACAATGCGATTGTTAAGAGAAACCAGCATGAGAGGCCCCCAAAAGTCTGGACACCAGCATCAAGGAGAGTCGTATAGGCGCCCCTCCTGGAGCCAGTCAAAGACTAACGAACCAAGTCAAATGTGCTTCGACTTCTTCCTCCGCAAGAGGAACACGAAACTCGACTGAAGAGGAGAAGAGTGATCAAAGTCGAGGGATGAGGTTGAACGACGCCTGTCGCTATCAAGTTTCGAGAAAATAAATAAATGATCGGACAGAAAAAAGTCAAGAATCCAAAGCGGAGTTCCTCAGGCCCGGCCCGCCCGGTCAAGAACACCCCCTTCCCGACGACGGAGTGACGGCCCCAAGCGCCAGGAGAAACAAAGAAGCTCGCCGGGCGCGGCGGGCCTCGACGACACACGCCCGCTAACGTTTAGCGCCCGAAACCCCCACAGTGCAGAAGCGGCAGAATCCCGAGGCCACAGGCGGTCAAGCCACAGAGAACCGAGCCCCCACCAAACGAATCTACCTTTACCCCTCCACCCACCTCCCCCCCTCAGATCGAACTTTCTCATTTTTGAAGATATTCCCAAACGACCAAAAAAACCAAACCCAGACACCCCTTCCACCTGCGACTCGCGACACGCACTACCACAACTTCATATGAACCCTGTATCGAATCAATAAAAGAACAAGAGGGGGAAAAAAACAAAGAGGACAGAAAGGAACACAGCAAACTGCCGAAAAACAATTGGAACACCACCCGCCATCCCGATAATCCTCCCAACACACATCACACAATGACGACAATACCACCACCAGAGGGCGCGGGCGCATTCCCCCTTCCCCCCCTCCTAACCCACCAAACCTCAACCCCGCCAACCCTAATAACCCAAGGCGCAGAAGCCCGCCTCTACCACACAACCCACCTCTCCCCCAACCGCCCGGCAGCCCTCAAATACCGCCCGCCCAAACCCTACCGCCACCCGACCCTCGACGCCCGCCTAACCCGCTCCCGCATCCTCGCCGAAGCCCGCGTCCTCGCAAAATGCCGCCGCGAGGGTTGTCCCGTCCCCGCGCTCTACGCCCTCGACGAGGTGGCGGGTTGGCTGATGCTCGAGTGGATCCCCGGCGCGCCGGTGAGGGTGAGGATTAACGAGTGGCTCGGGGAGAGGAGGACAACAGCAGCGATACCAGAAGAAGGAGAAGAAACACCAGAAGGAGAGACGGGGGGTTCAGACGCGACAGCACCAGCACCAGCACCACCAGCACCCAAAAAGGACCCGACAGGCATCAAAAACCTCATGCGCAGAATGGGCACAGCAATAGGCCAAATGCACAAAATCGGCATCGTCCACGGCGACCTAACAACGTCAAACATGATGCTCCGCCCCCCGAAATCGTCAGACGCAAACGAGAACAACAACGACCCCCTCGACGGCCGAGTCTTCATCATCGACTTTGGCCTCGCGAGCCAAAGCACCTCGGACGAGGACCGCGCCGTCGACCTCTACGTCCTCGAGCGCGCCTTCGGCAGCACCCACCCGCGCGCGGAGGCCTACTTCCAGGACGTCCTCGACGCCTACCGCGACTCGTACAAGCAGGCGCCCGTGACGCTCAAGAAGCTCGAGGACGTGAGGATGAGGGGCCGCAAGAGGAGCATGATTGGTTAGTTAGGGGGACTGGGTATGGCGTTGTTTGGAAACATTTCGAATCGATCTACTTGAGGAGAGGATGGCGAACACATGCACCTACAACAACAAGCTTGCGGAGATTAAAATCAAAAGAAATGTGAGACACATGACGGCATGGAAAAGAAAGTCGAATCAAATTGATACCCATGGAGTATTTCGGCGTGTTTGGCCGTTTCTACTTGATTCGCTACGTCTTCATCCGTCTCCCACCGTGTACATATCCTGTACTTTGTTCAGTCCATCATGTTGGTCCTGAGAGGTGCATTCTGTCTCGATGCCATCTATAATTGCCCCAAAACTTTGATAAAGCCCCCATCCCCATAAAAAAAAACCCTACGCCAGGTATAAAGTAATAATGCCGTGTGATATAAAACGCCGTGTCATGCTATTATTAGTCGATTTCCATAACGACTTTCGAGACCCAGCTCATTGTGTGTGTGAGCGTTTTTGTCGAGACGCAATATCGGCCGTGACGCGCAAGCATTTGCCCCCAATCTGCTCTATTCCTGCTTCACGAGACACTTTGTCTCAAACCACTTTGCAAATCGCACTGTCGGGATATCAAACAAGCGCCAGAAAACATCGGCGGCCCAAATGACCGCAGGAATGCAGCCGAAAGATCCCAGAACGAATCCGGCATTGTACCACCAGCCCTCGAGGCCGGTGATGGCGTACGCACGTCTCTCAATCATGTAGCCAACGGTGTGCATGACTGGTCCGTGCATGAGGTAAAGTGCGTAGCTGATCTTGCCGAGATACTGGATGGGAGCGAGGTTGAAGAAGCTCTTCCATCTAGGAGAGTGGCCGACGCAAAGAACGAAAATGACAGCTCCGATAGACTGCCAGAATCTGTATCCTTCCTCCGTCCACCACTTGGGAATGAACGTGCAGAGCCAAACCCAACCAGGAGTGATTTCGTAGTTGATGTCAGGCTGACACATGAAGTAGATGGCAAGAATGCTGAGCATTGCCCAGAAGAAGCCCTTAAGTCGGCTCCCTTGGGGAGCGGCGGTGCTATTTGAAGGAAGGACCGAGGGCTGCGGCACAGGCGTGTTGTTGCCCATGATCTGATCGTATTCCGCCAGCATCATGCCAAAGTAGAACAGCAGCAGCTCCCAACGGTTGTTTCGGTACGTGAAAGCGATGATTCCCGAGAGGAAGAGGAGGCGGAGTCCGGACCGTACGCGAGCCAAGCCGATCAGGGTGATGAACAGGTACATGGAACAGCGGAACTCCACCGGAATTGTCCACAGGTGCACATCATATGCTAAGAATAGTATTAGCAAACCTCAACACACAAATCCTCCAAAACCACTTACATGTGCTGCCACCAAAGCGCTCCCAGCCAAACACGTGGACAAAGTTGAACATGCTCCAGACCCAGTCGTAAAACTGCTCCGAGAAGGTGTCCAGCGGCTTTGGGTGAGGCTCCATAACGTTCTTGTGGAAAGCCCGATCAATGGCAAAGTCTCTAGTCCATTCGTATACTCCAAACTGAAGCAGGAGCATGATGCAAAAGGTCGAGATGGCAGTCGGCATGTACAATCTGATGAATCGACGGAATATCAAAGACGTCGTCGTCACGGAGAATTCCTCCATGTTTCCGGCCCTAGCAAGCTTGATCGGCTTCATGGAAAGAGCGTAGCCGGAAATGACAAAGAACAGGCAGACCGCTGGCGGACCTTGGTAAAAGAGTCGGAAGAAGGGCATCTTGAGAATGTGGTAGTTCTTTTCTGATGAGCCCCAGCCTTCGGCAATGATGAAGGCTTGGTAAAAGTAGTGGCAGAAGAAGACGAAAAGCGCTGCTAAGCCTCTCATGCCGTCGAGATGTGATGTCGGAAACAGCTTGTCGGTTCGGCCTCGTTCTCTGGTGAATCGGCTCTGGATGAAGCTGGGTAGCAGGAAGATGAGGCCGCGGATGACGGTAACCCTCCATGGTATGGCCCGCGTGTAGCCAACTACACCCCGGGCGACGGTCGACCATCGTGGTATCGCAAAACGGACTTCGAGGTCGGCCCTACCGCTCTCGCTCTCGACGTCGGACAACGTCTTCTCGTCTAGGAGTCCCATACCCTCCTCGTGTGAAAGGGACACTTTTGAAGCAGCGTATCCGTTCATTGTCCTGCAATGCAACCGGCGAGCGGGTGGATTTTGGTGTTGGTTGGGTGGGTATAAGGGAGGCTCTCGTGGCCGGAAGG